GACTTATCGCGTCCAGACAAGACGCGATAAGTCGAACCCAGAAGTTCGATTGCCAGCCGCCGAACTAGCGGCTGGGTATAGACGTACCCTCAGTTCGAACTGGGGGCTTAGTGTGGACCAGCCCTCAGAGAAGCTGGCTGTAACTGTGGAATAACCAACCTGCAGCAGCTGGACAAAGGGGGCAGTCTCCAGGGCCCTGGCACTAGCCCGTGGCCAGTGCTGATGGTAATGAGGGCCATGTGATGCTGGACTTCGGGGTCCCAGGCAAGGGCACAGGTGCATGTGGGGACTGTGCGGAGGGGTGAGCTGCTGTTTTGGGGACAGGGCTGGATGCATGGGGATCTGAGCTGGGCTTTCTGCAGGGAGAGCAGATTGCCTGCTGCTCCTCCATCCCTGTCCAAGGGACGCCTCCCAGGAGCAACAGCCAGCCCTCTTCCCCAGGGCCACCTGCCCCAGCCCCTGAGCGTTGACCCGAGCTAAACAGCCAGTGTTCGAATCCACATGGGCCAGCCGCAAGGGAGGGCAGCGGCACACACTTTGCCAGTGTCATGAGCTATTTGTTAGATAACAATAGGAGTTGGGGGACCAGCATTTTCAGCCTGGCTCAGAAGGGGAATGTCCTGTGCAGACAGGGCAGCTCAGGACACATGGCATTTGAGATGCTCAGCATGGTGTGCATGAGACTTACGCTTTTCCTCTTGCAGGTTCTGTTCTCACCTCTGCATCAGCTGAGGTCATGCAGTTGCTCTTACCTTATTTATAAAATGGAAGCTGTGATTAGACCGCCTTGGAGGGTCGGTGTCTGAAGCCTTGGCCAATGAGCTGGGCTAGGAATTGCACTGAAATATAAACAGCTCAGAGGTGAGGTTGGAACCTTCTCAGCTCAGTGCATGGTCTGCTAACCTAAAGGGAATTTGGAGAGTCTCTCCCATACCACAGTGACCAACTTTGCGACTTGGTGGAATCAAACTCGAGTGTGCCTGAGCTCTCTGCTCCTGTACTGTGCCCCTGTCTCTGAAGGCCAGGGTTTGTAATCCCAAGCCACACTGATACATGCAAAGCATTTCCTCCTGACTAATCGTGGGGCATCCAGAATGCCAAAGGGATTAATAATTTACCACGTATTGCTTCCAGTTGCAGAGCTGCCTCCCGTCACCATGTTCCCTGCTGGCATGCATTTGCAAGGCTTGTATAAGAGCCTTGCACAGGGCTGATGCAACCCATTAGGTGACCTAGGCAGTCGCCTAGGGCACTAACATTTGGCGACTGCGGTGGCCGGATCTTCGGCCGCCCCGGTCGTCGGCAGTATTTCGGGGGCGTGACCTTCCGCCGCCTAGGGTGGCAAAAAAGCAGGTGGCGCTCCTGGCCTTGCATAGTTTGTTACCTGAGCGCTGTCTGGGGCGAATTCAGAGATTTCAGCAGTCCTGACAAATATCAGCTGTTTTCTCAGAAAAATGCAAGCAGTGTGTAGGCTAGCTTGAATTTCCTGTGCCATGGACTACCATCAGCCTTAGATATGAATAAGGAAACATACTTCCTAGCCTATTTTATACACAGAAGGATCCATCTGTGAGTGCTCTTATTCAGCTAGTATAAATTGTGTCAGTCTGGCAATTACACATGGCAGAACTCACCCAATCTCTCTAGGCCTTTGCAGAGGTGGTGGAGAAAGAAACGGTCAAACTGCATGGTAGATAAAAGGAATTACTTTTCCCCACACAAGAAACCTGTGGAATTCATTGCCACAAGATCTCAAGAGCTAAGCAGGACTCAAGAAAAAGGACCGTCTGTTTATATGGATGAGGGGATGTCTATAGTTACATTAGACAGAGTTTAAAAAAAATGAGGACAGGATATGCCAAGCTCTGCAGAGTGGGGGAAGGAGGAACTGGTCATTCCATAATTGCTCAGTGGGGGTACTTGCCCCTTCCTCTGAAGCAGCTGGTGCTAATCACGGTCCGAGACCGGAGCCCAGCTCTGATTCAGCCTCTGAGAATTTGCTTCCTCCAATCTCACTGTCGGACTAACAAGGATAATGTCACTGTTCCCTTGTTGATGATTGGATTTGAATGCAGGTGTTAAGCGACCCAAGTGGCTGGCACAGGCACCAGGTAGACAAATATGTAGATTTGGCTGATCTATGTCTTTATGGAAAATCGTCAGCGACGGCCTAAACCAGCCTGTGGCTTCAATGGAAGATGCTACGTGCTGATACGCCTGAAAATCAGGCCACGTAAGAGCTGCCTAAGGATTAAGGCCCTGATCCTACAAACACTTACCCACATGCTTAACTTCACACACATAAGTAGTCCCACTGAACTCACTTGGCCAGATTTTCATTTATACTAAGGCCCCTGGCTGGCAGTAGGAAAGGGCCTTAAAATGAGTAAATTACACTTACACCCAGTGAGCAGCCTTAGTGTAAATAGGAATAAGGCCGAATGAGAGTGCCTGTGTGTGTTTGCGGCACCTAACTTTAGGTACCTGTCTTTGATGCCATTGGCTTGAGGCAGTATGGCATAGTGGATAGCACACTGAATGGGGACTCAGGAGACTTGGGTTCTAGATCTGGCTCTGCCACTGGCCTGCTGGGTGACTTTGGGCAAGTCACTTCCCCTTCTGTGCCTCAGTTTCCCCACCTGTAAAATGGAGCTAATGCTGCTGACCTCCTTTATAAAGCACTTTGAGATCTCCTGCAAGCACTATGCCAGGGTCCATATTTAATCTTTTACGTTCATGTAATTAAAAAAACAAATGCGAGTTGAATGATATAAAGAACTTTAAATGGCAAGAACAAAGGAAAAGGAGGAAGTGTCAGCTGAGTTGCATTAAGTGCATTAAAATCATCATTAAGTCCCTCTGTGGTCCTGACTCTGTGTGAGTGCCCCATCGGGGGATCCGTGCCCTCACGCACAGCACTTGGCCAGATTAGGCCCCACAAAGAAGCCCATCATTAAGTTGTCGTCTTGAGTTCTTTTAAAAAGAGATCAAACCCAAGTTTTAACTGAAACTTCTTGGCAGTTCTTTCTGGACAGCAGTTTTCCATTTTGTAACTTGTCTTGTAGGGGAACTTGGAGGATGCTAACTGCATTGTTCTAAGAATAGAAGTCCCTTTTTTTCCTTCTTCTTTTTTGTGTGTGTGGCTACAGAAACCAAATGGAGCTTGCTACATTCGAGGAGATTTTCCATTGCTCAGTCTGTTTGAATATTTTTACCTACAGAGTTTCTAAAGCGACACTCTCTTCAAGTGCTTCCCTTCTAGCAGATCAGGTTTTGCTGTCTGGCATTTAGGCAGGCAGTTATTTCCTTGAGCTATAATAATATTCAAAGGGGATCCCAGCAGCAGCTGTGCAGCACTGCCTTGCCAGGAATCATTAAAACAAAACCTTTTTGCACAAAAGAGGGGTGTAATTAAATATATGGGCTCACCCCCACCCCCACCCACACCCTTGTGTGCTAAAATGCATGCTATCGGCAGTGTAGACACTAAAGCACTCAGGTGCGCAAAGCCGTGTCTTCGCCTTGTTCCCATTTGATTCCCTCTCTGATTTCTCTGGAGAGGGAAATTCCTCTACCGAAGATTCCCAGCCCCCCCCCGCCGAAAACAAACAAAAAGAAACAACCTCAAGAGGGCTGGGCAAAAGATACAAAGCTCTCCAAGGCGGTGGGACTCCTCCTCTTGACAACTGACTTCTCCTTTAAATGTCTGCAAAGGCAGGCTCCAGCTAGAGTTGCTTTTGTGGCTGCTGGGGGAAAGTCTGTTCTCCTTCGGGATGGGGCACTGGCTTCTCCGAGGCTCACCGACCACATGTGCCAGTTAAAGCAGTCAGTTCCTATGCGTCCTCTTTTCTGAGCCTCCCACTGCAGTGCTGATTTTTGTGCTTCCTTCTGGAAACCTTTCCTCTACCTAATGCCGGCTAAGAGGCCAGGCAGAGACGGGGCTCAGCCTGCACGTGTGGCCGTGAGGAGAAGCAAAGCAGAGGGGCAGGCTGCGTGGCCAGCTCTCAGAGGAGCAGTTGAAGCTGTGAGGCTGCTACAGTGAGAGCCTTGGCAGAGTCCTGCTCCCGGAAGTGCCCTGGAGGGGTGGAGGGTGTCTGCATCCAGGATGAGGAGGTCTCCAGAAGTGGTTGTCATGTGAGCTGGCTATGAGAAATTGTAGTGGATTCCTGAGCAGAGTGCCACCTGCCCGGGGTCTGAAGACAGGAGGGCAGGAGTGTTCCTGTGCATGGAGCCGGTGAAGAAGGCCCCCCGATGTCTGCTTTGCTGGTGGTCTGGGCTGTGCTCCTGCCCTCAGGGTTCACCAGCTACCTGGCCAGCGGAGGGACGTCATGGCGACATTGCACAGGTAGGAGCAGCTTGTCATGGGGGTTAGTACAAGTTGTTTGATAAGCAATTATTAGCCATCTTGCTGGGGGCGGGGGAACGGGGTGTGGAGGAGCTTGCAACCCACCTTCCAACCTCTGCACTCAACGCTGCCCTTCCAAATCTGGGAGATAATCACAAACGTGTCAAACATTCCTCCTCTGGAAGAGCCTCAGCTGCAGTCCAGGGACCCTGATGTGGAACTACACCCAGCATGTAGTTGACAATGTCCTCCGGCCCTCATCCTTCAGCGCTGACTCTGACATAGGGTCAAATGAAGCTGGTGGACATGCCAGATATTTTGGGTCTGCATGAGAGCCCACGAGTCCTGTTTGCCCGGGAATTTGATCCGGCAAAGTGGCCTAATCCGCACTCAGAGGCACAGCTGGGTTTGTTTCCTTCTCCCTCGAGGATCTTGTGCTGCCCCTCTGGACAGTTTGCTTTGCTTTAGCTTGGCTTCCAGTCACAATGGTTGGCAACCTCAATTCAATGGCACTTGGAGTTTTTGGTGAAAAAAAATCCCCATGCCGTAACCTATGGATGGAAATTTGTAAAAGCGGGCGGGGCATCTGACTGGGCCAGAATTAAGTGAACTGCTGGGTCTGCTTGTAGGCTTTTGGCTCTGCAATTTATTAAAGATGACCTGATTTCTCTGCTAACGAGCTGGCTTCGGCACCATGCCAAGTATTGTGATGAATAGCATGTGCCCTGCCATTCATTCAACAACCTCCACTAAAAATAAGGAAGGAAATCAGGCAGTCCGGGCCTGGAGTATTACAGCTGCCATTGGCAGGGGGCTGCAGAAGAGGTGGCCAATAGTTACATGGATTTAATCTGCCAGGATATACTGTTGTCTCTGTGGCCTGTATTGCTGTAGGGGGAATGTGCAAGGGTTGTAAGCATGGGACGGAGGCAACTGCCAGCCGCCTGGATTTGCTGGTGTAAAATGGGCGTGGAGCTATTGACAGTGACAAGGGCTTTGTTTGGGCCAGCTAGAACCATTTCAGAACCCAGCCCAAATGTCCTCCATCCTGAACTGTCGTCATAGCAACCGATCTGGGTGCTCATCTGGCCCTTTGAGCATCGCCATCATTAATGGGACTTGATCCTTGCAGTCCCTGCCTCCCGGGGTGTTTGGTCCCCATTTAGTAGGCAGGGAATCACGACACAGGGCGGATGATATCACTTAGCAAGGTCACCCGGGAAGTCCATGGCTAAGGTGAGAATGAAAGCTGGGTCTCCCAAGGCCCTAGCACTTCACCCATCTTTCCAGTAGGGGCTAGTTCCAATTTCTCCCATCAGCAAATCTCCCCAGGGACTCTGGAGTCCCATGCTGCAAGGTGACAGCTGACAAAGACAGAGTTCCTGGTAGGGCCATGGTTGCTGGGAGTGGGCAGGCTGGATGGGGGCATGGAAGGGGGGGAAGAGTGGGCAATATATAGCACATGGTAGAGGAGGAGGAGTGGCCCTTGTGGGGCTGCCACCTTGTTCTCCTGCCTCCAGTGGCGTCCTCTGCTTGCAGAAACCCATGAATACAGCGTGGCAGGGACAAGATTGGCTGCCCATGTGCGGGAGGAGAGCTGCAGGGGAATACAGCTGGGGGGGATCAGGACTCAGGCAGGTGGGGAGGAGTGTGTGGAGGGGTGTGCAGGGTGGGACGGGGACTCTGGCTGGATGCTGCTGGGGGGCAGAGGGACGGAGTGTGGGGAGGGGGATCTGAACCAGCACTGTGATGGAGCCAAGATGGGGCCTGTGGCTGGGAGCTGGGGAAAGGAAAGACTGCTGAGTGGAACGGGGGCGCAGGGAGGCGAGTCGGTGATGGGGACTGGCCATGATGATGGAGGATGGGCAGTGGGGTGGGAGCAGGACTGGCAGTGCTTTGTGCTCAGGGTGGTCCCTAGCCCTCCTGGCAGGAGACCTGCCGTGGGGAGCCAGTGGGCAAAGGGAAGGCCGAGCATTTCTGCTGCACAGCAGCCACAGCTAATTAACTAGTGGGGCCACTTAGCGATGTGTCCCCATGCAGCCAGGCCCCAGCAGTGCCCCTGCCCCTGAGCTGGGTGTGGGGCAGCAGGGCAGGTGCAGGTGATGATGTCTGCCTATCGCCGTCCCACACCCGGGGACTGCCAGCAGCTCAGCCAGAAACCCCATCGCCGCCTTGCTTCACGTGCATGCTGGGTTTACAGTGTTGGGTGCAGCCAGGCTGACATTGGGGTGCTGGGGGTCTGGAGGGAGGGGCAGCAGCAGATTGTGTCTTGCTGCTACGTTAGGTGAGAGTAGCCCTGGCGGATGGTGGCTCTCACTCTTCGGACTCTGCACAGACCTGCAAGACACTGCTGGGCCCAAAAGTTTAGTGGCAACACCCTTGTAAACGCCACAGTGGATTCTGATCTGCCGTGCATTGTAGGTCCTATATGAGGCAGGGCTTGAGCCGTGTGCCCATGGCAGGCCCATGCCATTGAGCCTATATGCGCTGGATCAAGTTCACACACTGGGAAGAGGTTTGAATCCCTTTCTGGACAGGCTGTCCCTGGGATCCTTTGCTGTGGCACTGCTGGAGTTAGTTATCTCTGCAAGGGGAGAGTCAGGGCTCATGGTGAGCTCACAAGCCTGAGCCTGCTGCGTAATAACAGTGCAGAGCGTTTATCATCTTTAAGTACTTTGCAGGCACCGAACACCCCTCCCAACAGCCCCGGGAGGTACCTAAGTACGTGCTATTATCCTCACTTCACAGCTGGGGAAACTGAGGCAGAGATTGAGTGTTTTGCCCAAGGTCACAGAGACGTCGGTGTCAGAGCCAGGGTTAGGCTCCATTCCTGCTGCTCAGGACCAGGCGCATGCTCTTGCTTCATGATCATCTTGGCATTGGAGTCAGTTCTGTCCCTGCTGCTCTGGCAGCTAAAGCAAGGAGTGGCGGCTGCATTCACAGTGTGCTCTCTGAGCGGATTCGTGACACGCTTAACACAAGGTCTAAATGAAAACACTAAGAATGGAAAGGTAAGGAAAGCAGCCCTCAATACCCAGGCCCTGCCCAGACAGCGCCAGTGTCCTTGCAGGGAATGGGTAACACGACCCAATTCATATTGCAATATTGCTGGGTGGATGTTTCTAATTGAAGAGATTGCCCCCAAAATGACAGCTGGGAGTGGGAGCAAAGAACAAAGTGGGGTGGGGGGTGGGGATAAAGGAGAGAGAACAGGGACAGAGTTGCAGCGGTGCTGGGGCAGGCTGGTAGCACTGCAATTCGGAGAGCATCTTCTGGTGAGCTTGCTGTGCCCCGGGTGCCGTTCTAGTGCTGCCCCTAGGATGCGGGGGAGCTGCTGGGGGATCCCATTCACAGAACCTTCTTCACAGCTCTACTTCTGCATATGGGACGGAGACCCCGAAGGGCGGGAGGGGCAGAGATGGGGAGGGGGTTGGGAGGAGACCATTTTTATGCCAATGTTATGTCACTCAGCTCTCAGGGGATTTGATGGCCCATGGAGGCAGGTGTGCATCTCAACTGGGGGAGGAGGCCTAGCAGCCCAAGGCCACACCCACTCACTGTAGCGCTGTGACCAGTGAGCAGAGAACTTCAACACAGGGTGATATCCCCCGCCTGCAGGACCTGCCCTGCAGCTGGGCTGGGGCCCATGCCTAGGCCAAGGAAAGGGCATGGGAGCTCTGAGGGGTGGCGCTCAGAGGAGTGAGCTGGAGTGACACCCGCGGGAGGCAAGGGACACTGCTTGGAGTGGCGGGAGCAGGGCAAGGAGCTGGCACCCCGAGGGCTGGGAGTGGTGCTGGCGGTACCCTTCCTGGAGGCCGGTTCTGCACCCAGCTTCTGTTGCATCTTGCATTTTTGGTCTGAAATGCCCCAACTGGGGGAGGAGAGAGGAGGAACAGTGCATAAAGGGTGAATCAGAGCGCAAAGGACATGGGGTTTCCTAGATATACCTCTAGAAACGCTTAGCCGGCTCTCTTCTTGGTCTGTCTCATGGTGGTTTGAGCTCCCGGTTGGGCAGCTCTGGGGCACTCAAGGCAGGCTGGGAACTGGGTTTCCTGGCCCGTGAATGTTTCTGCGATTTCAGGTTTTCTTGTTCTTTGTTAGGACGGAAGCATGAGCTGAGCCGAGCCAATAGTCCTGTGATTCAGGCACTCACCTGGGCTGTGTGGGACCCAGGTACAAGAGCCAGCGATCCCTGATTCAGACCAGGCCCTTGAACCTGGCTCCTCCATATCCAGGTGCCTGCCCCAGCGCCCTGGATGCTGGCTGGTCTAGGGAAGGTGACTGTCTTTCTCTGGCCACAGATTCCTCCCTGGCCCTGACGCAAATTTAGTCCAGACTGTCTCATTCCTGCCAAACAGTTGTTCTGACAAACTGGCATTTGACAAGGAGATGGGGGGTCGGGGGGAATGGGACTGCCTGGGCCAAAAGCCAGGGAAGGGATGGTGCGGGGAGGCTGAGATTGGATGAGGAGCCCAAGGAGGGAGTCTGGGACTGGGAGCCAGTGGTGGGGGAGGGGAAAGACTGATTGAGCCAAGAGTTGTGAGCGGGGAACTGGGACCAGCTAGACAAGGGGAATGGGATTGGGATGTGAAGCCTGAGAGTGGAGACTGGTCCTGGGTAGGCAAGGATAATGGGACTGAAAGAAGGAGCCAGTGATGGGGAAGAGCCAGGACTGGGACAGGGACAGCTTGGAGGGGACAGGGCAGAAGGGGAAAATGAGCAGAAGAGAACACTCCTCTCCGGAGCATGAAATAGAACCTCAGATGCCTATGAACTGGGATTGGCTGTGAAACCTACTGGCATCCAGATGTCAAAGTGCGTGTCTTGCCCCCTTTTATGCTGGTCAACACAGAGGATAACAACCTACTACTTCTCTCAGGTACTCTGTTAGCTCAAGCGGCAGAGCTCTGTGCCGTGGATCTAACGGTTCCAACCCTGCTGATTAATCAGTATGATGCCACAAGATGGAATTTCTGTTTTTCAGTTTGCTTTGTTAAAAA